AAGACCCACTTGCAGTGCCAGGTCCAACTAGGCTGGCTATTTGATCTCAAGAAGAAGAGTTCTACCCTATCTGGGCATGTTAGTTTTAATTATGGATGAATTTGTTTCTTTTTTAAATGTATGAAGAAGCATTGCATTATCTGAACCTGCACCTGCAATCCAAAGTCTAAAGGGAGTGGTAACTATTGGATGTCTAACAAATTGAATAAATAAACAAAAACAATTAAATCAAGTTGTATATCCCAGGTACAGGTTTACCACGTAGTGAGGTCCACATAATGCATGTTGTTGTTTAGTTGTTTAGTCGTGTCCGACTCTTCGTGACCCCATGGACCAGAGCATGCCAGGCACTCCTGTCTTCCACTGCCTCCCGCAGTTTGGTCAAACTCATGTTAGTGGCTTCAAGAACACTGTCCAACCATCTCGTCCTCTGTCGTCCCCTTCTCCTTGTGCCCTCCATCTTTCCCAACATCAGGGTCTTTTCCAGGGAGTCTTCTCTTCTCATGAGGTGGCCAAAGTATTGGAGCCTCAGCTTCAGGATCTGTCCTTCCAGTGAGCACTCAGGGCTGATTTCCTTCAGAATGGAGAAGTTTGACATAATGCTTAGGTGATCATTACACGGACTTAAGAAGAAGAAAGAAACCCAACAAATGTCATTGTAGGGTGAAACTGCCAACTTGATATGGGTGGGGTGGGGTGGGGTGAGGTGGACTATTTGAACTTATTTTCCAAATAAAATCATCCACTGTTTCTCCCAAGGGAGCGACTGGGGAAGGAGTGAGCTGATCAATAAAAAGGCATGGAAGTTAAACGTCCCCTGCAACAGAGCTGCTGCTCCCATCAAGTTCGTAGCCTGACCATCACCACAGCTGCATTTCATAAAATGTTAGATCTTGCATATAGTATGTAGTTTGGCAGCAAGAAACTAGACTACTGTTAAGTGCTTTGACAGTACAATCCTATACATGTCCTGAGTAGGCTCCAATGGGGCTTACTCCTAGGTAAGCAAGTATAAGATTTCGGTCTTACTTAAGTCACTGTGATTTCAACAGGAGAAGAAAGCATAATTTTCTCCCGTTGGATAAACAGTACTTGGAAAAGCCAAAACATTTAAAGCTTAAAATTCCTATTAATATTTCATGCTGAACTTTGAGTATAGCCACTCAAACATACTATGTTGTATCTCTGCTGAATGGATCAGCCATAGATGGGAACAAATGTATTTTAATGACAAAATGTGAATTTCATTACCGCAACCTGAATCTGATGAAATTTGAATTATGCTCAGATTAATGGGAAGACCGGAGTCTTTATATTTCACATTCCTTTCAGCTCTTACAGAAAGTTGATCATAAAACCCTTTTCCGGAAAAGGAAAGGATAGAATCATTTCTTGTCACGTCAAATTTCATGAGCAACAAAGAACACAACAGGATCAAATATGCTGAACAAAGAGAAGAGGGCAAAGGTATGTTCTCTGTTGCCCCAGAGGGCTGTGAATCCCAAGTGGAGAGAGGGCAGCTGTGCTTTCAGGCTTCCTAAAGACATCTGTTTGGCCACTGTGAAATAACAGGTGGGCAAATCTGTCAATTTCAGTTTGCCTTATTTTCTAATTTTCCCATTCTTAAGTACCCCTGACCATTAAGGTCCAGTTGTGACCGACTCTGGAGTTGCGGCGCTCTGGCAAACCAGAGCAGCGCACGGAAACGCCGTTTACCTTCCCGCTGGAGCGGTACCTATTTATCTACTTGCACTTTGACGTGCTTTCGAACTGCTAGGTTGGCAGGAGCAGGGACCGAGCAATGGGAGCTCACCCCGTCGCGGGGATTCGAACCGCCAACCTTCTGATCAGCAAGTCCTAGGCTCTGTGGTTTAACCCACAGCACCACCCACGTCCCAATTCTTAATGGAAATTCAGCAGCTTTTTAGTGTGTAATTCTCCTAACATACACATTTTACTATGCAGTTTTGCCTAATGGACACCTTTTTTTAAAAAAAAAAAAATCCCACTAATACCTGGATTTTTATGGATGCTTTACCCTGGCATATGCACTTTTGTTCACATTACTTGACTGCAGAACAACACTGCAAAATTCAGGGAAGTGCAGATTTCCAAATATTGATGTGTTTTGGCTCATGTATTGTTTTGGAAGGTGTGAATTAGGTACCTTTAAATGTGAACTGAATCTAATTTGTTCCCCATCCCTGACCTCAGACGAGCTTTTAAAATGATTTGTATTGTGTATCACTATTCAAAGTGGAGGTGGGGAGTCAAAAGTTCTAACGTCACATATTCGGACCCTCAAGAATGTCTGAAGTAACTTTATTGGACCCCCATATATCTTTCGGAGTACAGTAAATGTATAGCAGGCTTTTGGTTTTTTTTAAAAAAGACCTGCTTATTTCATTTATATCCCACCTTTTTCTCCAAGGAGCTCAAGGTGGTGTGTGTGAACCTCCACATCCACATCCAATCTCAACATTAGGTTGGGAGGCAGTGACTGGTCCAAGGTCACTTAGTAAGCTTCATGGTTGAAGTGGCAATTTGAACCCTGGTTTCCCAGGGTCTTAGCCTTACACTCTAACCCAGGGGTCAGCTGGACCACTGTCCCTCAGACCTTGTGGGGGGCTGGACTATTTTTTTTTTTTGGGGGGGGGAGGATGAACCAATTCCTATGCCCCACAAATAACCCAGAGATGCATTTTAAATAAAAGGACACATTCTACTCATGTAAAAAGACGCTGATTCCTGGACCGTACATGGGGCGGATTTAAAAGGCGATTGGGCTGGATCCGGCCCCTGAGCCTTAGTTTGCCTACCCATGCTCTAACTATTGCACCATACTGGTTGCTGAGCTGTTGCCCATAGTGCTGTCAGGGCTGGACTTTGGGGCCGAGGTCTGGACCCCCCACTCAACAGACTGAGCAGGAGGACCCCCAAAGCAGCAGGGAAGTGAATACCCATTACCATCTCAATGTGAGGGGCTCCCATAAGACCCTTAAGATTGCCTAACTGCACCACCATTTGACCTTTTAGTGTGTCCGCTGCTGAATTATTGCATTTCTCCAGAGCTATCTCACCATTAATCCTGGGCAATAAAGGGAAAGCAAAGCAATATATGAAGGAAGCCTCATGTAAAATTATTTATGTGAAGGAGGAAATGGCTGAAGCAGTATCAGCTCTGCTCTCATCTGTGCTAGCAGAGGGATCCAGTAAGCTCTTTCGGACGCTTCTTAAATACAAAGGGGCAGATATCATCGTTATTATTCAGGCTGAAAGTCTTCACGTGTGTGCACGGGGGAAAGAGACGTCTTCCTCCTCAAGGTTTCCATCCTCCCACAGATCTAGAGAGATGCGAAGCCTTTCGAATGGTTGCTTTCCCCCCGCTACTGATGTGCTGCAAAGCATCTCTCTCCATCGCTAAGGGCGCGGGGGATCGGCTGCTGAGCGTGCGCGCGTGTGACAATCCAGGATTGTGGGCGGCTTCCTCGTGGAAAGCAGAAGCGACCTTCGTCTGTCCGTCCCCCCCCCGCCCCATCTCTGACAGGATCCCCATGTTACTCCCGCAGCACCGAGGGAGCCGCAAAGACGCGCCTTCACCCGCCTGCCTGCCTGCCCGTTCCCACCAGCGCTTCCCACTTCGGGCACCGGGTGGCGCCAGAGCTCGCCGGTGGCGCGGATGGCACTGCGGTGGATTTCCCTGGTCCCTTTTTTCGAGATGACTGCGGAGAAGGGATGGCGGACGCGGGAGGGAGCCGACCTGCGGGGAAAGGCAGATTCCACGGCCAAGCGCTTTCCACGCCCGTCATCCATCGCTCTCTCTCTCTCTCGCGCCCGAGTGTTAAAAAACGATCACGTTCCATTATCCCGGGATCCCTTTTCCTGCGTTCCCTGCCCCGTTCCTACGCGCGTGTCTGCTCCATGCGTACACGTGACAGCGGGAGCTGCCTCTCGGCCTGGCCTGCGGGGATGGGGGGGGGGGAGCGGGCCTCTTCGCGGGTCCCGATCCTACGTCTCCGGCGAGGCGATCTCGAAAAGAGCAGCTCATCGCCTTAACCCGGATCAGGGACCTGCGGGGGCCAAAATTGCTGCAGGGGGCGGCGGCGAGTTGGTGCGTGTGTGCGCGCCCCCCAAGGCGAATCCCTCGCTGCCTCCACCATGTGGGCTACCTGGGCGCCGACCCCCCCCCCTTCCCAGTCCTCCTTCCTTTCTCACACCGATCTTCGAGATCCTTTTCGAGCAGTGGCGTAGCGTGGGTTGTCAGCACCCGGGGCAAGGCAAGTAATTTGCGCCCCCTAACCCGTGGATTTGTGCCCCCTACCCGTGGATTTGCGCCCCCTAACCCATGGATTTGCGCCCCCTAACCCGTGGATTTGCACCCCCTAACCCATGGATTTGCGCCCCCTAACCCGTGGATTTGCGCCCCCTACCCGTGGATTTGCGCCCCCTACCCGTGGATTTGAGCCCCCTATCCATGGATTTGAGCCCCCTATCCATGGATTTGAGCCCCCTACCCGTGGATTTGAGCCCCCTAACCCATGGATTTGCACCCCCTAACCCCCAGATGTTGCGCCCTGTGCGGCCGGCCCCCCCTGCACCCCCCACGCTACGCCACTGTTTTCGAGCCAGTCCCCCCCCCCCCCTGCGTGGCTTCCGATTCCGATCACGTCTTTGCGTCTTTCTTTCTTGGGGGGGGGGAAGCGGGCAGGGAAAGGGGGGGGGGCGACGAGCGCTGCTGCGATTTGCACAGCGGAGAGGGGCTGGAGGGTTGTCAACAACAACCACCACAAGCATCCCCCCCCCACCACCACACGCCAGACACGGGGAAAGGTGTTGTTGCGGAGGGCGGCGCGCACTCCCGCGGCCGCCCCGGATGCGCGCGCGCGGCCAGACCCCCGCCTGACTCATGGGCTCTTCCCTCCTGCGAAGCAGCCCCCGCCTCCCTCCCTCCCTCCCTCCCCGTTTTTATTTTGGATTTGAGGCTGGGCTCTTCTCCCCCCCCTTTTTTTTTCTTTTTTGGTCAAGGAGTTTCTACCCCTCCTTGCGTCAGCCTCACGTCACTTGGCCGGTGGCAGCCCCCGAGCTTTGGGGCTGGAGCCGGAGCCTGGAGCCGCTCTTCGCAGGAGGAGGAGGGAGACGGCGGCAGCGGCGCGTGGGGCAGCGAAGCGCCTTCTCCCCCCACCGCAACCCCCCCCACACACACGCAGCCCGCTCCCTCCCTGCGGTGTCGGCCCACAGAAGCCGGGCAGGAGGGCGGCTGACGCGGCAGCGGCACCAGCGGCAGCTCCCCCCGGGGGCTCCTAGGTAGGGCACCTGGCTGAGGAGAACAGCGGGCTGGGGATGCGGCGCCCCGCTTATTCTTCTGGGGGCAAGGCGCGCGCAGGGCGGGAAGCGGGAGGGGGCGCGCGCCTTTGCCCGGCTGACCCTCACGGGGCGCTTCTCTCTCCCGTCCTTCTCTCTCTCTCTCCCTCTCAGCCTCAGCCGGTCTCCTCTCGCCTCTCCCGCGCCGCCTCAGAGGACTTCTCCCCGGCCGACGGAGCGCAGGAGGCGCAGTCGCCGCCTAGGGGCCAGGCAAGAAGGCGGCCGCTGAGGCGACGGGAGCCTCGACGATGCCCGAGTGACTGGCTCGCCCTCGGAGCCGCGCTGGATTGATTGCCTTTTGCGGGCGGGAGGGCGAGCGCGAGGCCAGCAGCAGCAGCAGCTTCTTCCTCGGCGTCGGCCGGCATGGGAGCCTGGCCCAGGACGTGGTGTTGGCGGCGGCGGCAGCAGCTGCACGGCTCCCCGCGGCCGGCGGCCACCCGCTTCTGGAGCTTGTGGTGGCTGGTGCTGGGCGCCTGGCGGGGGCTGGCGGCCTCGGCTTGCCCCGCGTCGTGCACGTGCAGCGCCGAGCAGATCTGGTGCCTGGAGCCCGCCGGGAACCTCACCTCCTTCCCGGTGCTCGGCAAGAGGAGCGCGCCCGAGAAAGTCACCGACATGTGAGTGGTCCGGGGCGGCCGGGGGGCTCTCGATGGATATCCTATATGTCTCCCCAATATCCTATCAGTATCACCGTATCACATAGATAGGTACAGGCTTGCATGCACACACGTGTATCTGGCGTGTGCACAAACTAAATAAGGCAATCCTTTCAGATTTCTCGTACTTGTGAATGACGCAGACAGGTAGCTTCCTAATTTTTATTTCCAATAACACCCGCTTTTATATGCCAAATGGCCATTCAAGCCCATTCTTTTGGTGTGTCTTTTTTTTTTAAAGCATTCATCGCATTAAAGGCTCATGATTCTTCCCTCTCTTTTAACAACACACACAAGATCTCATAGCTGCAAACCTATCAATTGTTTAATTCGGACTAGGCATATCTATTTTTATCTGCCACAAGTTTTTTATTGTCATCGTTCTGGTGCTGTGACCGTATGCCAGTAGACCGCTTCTGTCCACCCTTGGAGAATGGAGTCACATAAAGACCAACCACTATGTTTGCCTCTGTGCAGAGCCAGCGCCAGTCTTTTGTAGCTAATAGGCATGAGAAGGATGGACGACACCCTTGCGTTGTGAGCCGCTCATCTGAGCATGATAAGGGTTTTTTAAACCTCTTTTTGGCATCTCTTTCAGAAAATCTTTCTGCACTACCAAAACATTTCACTCCATTCCTGTGTGTTGGAAAAAGGCATCCTAGCCGTAGGCAAATGGGCTGTTCCTAAGGAGATTCTGCATTAAGGAAACTGTCTGAGACCTTTTGTAAAGGCTGTGTAAGACGAGATGGTCTCTGTATAGCAATGCACTTGCTCAAAAGGCAACTCACTGGAAGCCTAAAAGCCTCGGCTGATCTAATTTAGATTTGACTTTCCCTGAGATATAATTTGGAAAGCATTTAGCTTATAAATCTTAATTGCCCACAGTCCAATTTGCTGGGAATAAACTAGATGATAAAGCAATAAAGGACATGGATTGGTGTTCATTTTAGTACAAGGCTAGTATTCTGTTACAAACCTGCTGTCAGATTTTGCTGCGGAGAGAGGCAGGAGAACTTGAACATTCCTGCTTATTATTGGGTTTTCACAAGCTGTTAGTGTTCTAAAAATAAGAGGGAACAAGGGCATATAGGCTAGCTGTGTGTAGTAGGCAAAAACCAAAACAGTTTGTATAATTTTCGTTCAGAGACAAGAAAAGCAGATGAGATTTATTTTCTCTTCTTAGACTTTACCCGTTTTCATGTTTCCTTAACAGTGTAGATGGTACGTTTTATCCTCACTAGCTGTTACATATTCTTCCATATAAAGTATATGAAGAATTGTGTAACAGTAGTACTGTAAATAAAGAATTCCTTACTTTTCCTTCCTCTAGGATAGGTTACCTCTTAGGTTCCCAAATTGTGGTGTGGGCCTCCCTTTTGGGGGCATAGGAGACTTTGCATGGAAGCCATGCCTATACCAATGAGTGACTAGACAGGTGGGCTCATCTCTCCTACCACCAACCAAGAATTGGGTGGGATGAATGCCCTGCAGCAGAGGACCATCAGCGATAAATACTGGGTTTTTGGGTACAGATAGGTAGCCGTGTTGGTCTGCCATAGTCAAAACAAATTCCTTCCAGTAGCACCTTAAAGACCAACTAAGTTAGTTCTTGGTATGAGCTTTCGTGTGCATGCACACTTCTTCAGATACCTTGATGGACTTCCATTTCATGCGGCTCAATGTGGTGCCTTCCATAGTTCCAGTTACAGATAGGTAGCCGTGTTGGTCTGCCATAGTCAAAACAAAAAAATTCCTTCCAGTAGCACCTTAAAGACCAACTAAGTTAGTTCTTGGTATGAGCTTTCGTGTGCATGCACACTTCTTCAGATACCACAAAAAAATTCCTTCCAGTAGCACCTTAAAGACCAACTAAGTTAGTTCTTGGTATGAGCTTTCGTGTGCATGCACACTTCTTCAGATACTTCAGATTGGTATCTGAAGAAGTGTGCATGCACACGAAAGCTCATACCAAGAACTAACTTAGTTGGTCTTTAAGGTGCTACTGGAAGGAATTTTTTTGGGTTTTTGGGGTAACTCCTGTTTGCCCAATTGAATGAGAGAAAGAAGCTTGAAAGGCTGCCGTGTTATTTCAACAATATTTCCTTGTATACGATCAGAAATGTTCTCCTCTAGCACACAAGCTCATTTGTAGAACAGAATTGGTGCTGCATTAGCGACTTGGGGTGTCAAGAAGGTAAAGTAAGTTTCAGTCAGGGTGGAGGGCAAATTCAAAAAGTTTGGGAAATTCTGGATTGCACCATTGTATTAACCTTACTATTACTATAGCAAATTGAGTGCCTCTTAAAAATTAGAGTTGCTGGATTATTTTAATTGGAAAGTACTTTGTTTAGCTTCTCCTTTAGAACACAATGCTGATTTTTCAACCCAGGCTTCTTTCCCTCTGAAATAGGTAGCTGAGTATAGACTATATACTACAATAAGAGATAACTGTAAATCAAGAGATGCACAAGATTGCTAAAGACATTTTATTCACTCTTCCACATTGAGTGCATTGTTTATTTGCAGAATTTCAAGATACGTGGTTGTGTTCAAGAAGTATTTTTAAAGTTTTTCCTTTGCAGTTTTTTTTTAGCTGAAAAATCCATTACCTTCATTATCAATTTCGTAAAAATCCTTGTTCTGGGCTGCCTATATACAGTTCATTGTAGCTCTTCTGCAGCATTTCCCAGTGTCTGGGTTTGGTAGAAAGTGATGGATTTGTTTTCTATGACATTGTTCAAAGGGCTTATTTTATTTTGTAGCTCTTTCTTTGACAATAATAAAAGCACATATTTCAGAAGGTGATAGCGACAGTTTTAATGGTTTTTCGTTCATCTTCAACTCAAGAAAGGTGACATTGATTTGGTACCCCATCCTTTCAGAGTGTTTGTTGTGGGGGAGGAAGGGAAAAGGAGAATGTTAGCCATGTTGAGACTCCTTAGGGTACTGATAAAGCGGGATATAAAATCCAAACTCCTCTTCTTCTTTCACTGACACCATCAATCATGAAAAAATTATCCCCTTGTATTCTCTTTAACCATTTCTATTTAATTTGAAATTACCCTGAAAACATACAAGTTAGGTTCATTTCCTCCTTGCATTTCTGAAGTTTTTGGCAGTATTTGTCCTCCCCAACCCCTGTTACCACCATTTGATTTTGATACCATCTACATCATGAATTGGTCATAGAAGAATAGCTAATTTCCCAGGAGATCTTATTGTACAAATTCAAGATACAAAGCATTGAAATTGGCCTTGACGCTAAAGGATGAGCAGCTCAAAGTTGTTCATTATTACTCATTATTAAATGTGGGAATTATTTTAGGGTTTCTTTGTAATATTTATGTGGCAAGTTCACCATAAATAAACCAATGCTTTATATGTGGCTTCCAAAACTACACACAAACTACATACATAATTGAATGCTTCCAGCCTGGTATTTCACCTGCTAGTTCATCAGGCATTAAATAATAGCTTTTCCTGTTCTATGTGCTGCATATTATAGTATGTGGAGTTTTGCATGCTTTTCCCATGTAAAAAAACGTGATGTTCCTAACTTGTGATTTTCTTTTTCTTTAAAAATATTGGGAGTGATTTTATTGCAAGTGTTTCCCTATGATTGGTAAATCTCAGCTAATTGAGGAGGCAAACTTTTTTTTGTGGGTTTGTGGGGGACTTTAAGGCCTTGTTATTGGAGTCAGTGGAATTTTTCTGTGGAATAGGGGATACACTGTAAAATGGAGGGCTTGCACGGTTTCAACTTTCCCGTGCTTTGGTATGGTACAACATAGGGAAGGCAGAAGGATGGAGCGGGGAGTAATTCGGTGGGAGGGGTAAGATCAGCTCAGAATAGGTTGTAAATGTGAGGTTCTGATGTCCTACCTAGGTGAAAATGCTACATTCTTTTGGCTGCCAGACATTAAGATAAATTACTGTTTCCTCACAGAAGCTGACATAGAACTCACAGGGTGGAAATAGAGACTCTCGTTGGCTTTATGCATGTGGTTTGGGAGTGGGCTGATTGAACCAGTTAGGGAGAAGAAGGAATTTTGCCTAAAGTGTTTTGCCTAGAATCTTTTTAAAAAATCTCTCTCAGTAGATTATTCACAAACTTGCTTGTCTTTTTAATGAATACAACAGACATGGTCTTATAAGCCTGTGCTTATAATGAGATTGTGTTTGATTCTGTTCCTTGGGGTCCCGGTGTGGGCTTGAAAAGCTTCTGCTACGTATACACACTTGCGATGGTTATTGCTCCGTAATGGGCCATAATCTACTTCTGACATGATTGTTGCAGGTTATTGGCTACACAAATATTCTGATCTTTGCAGTGAGACACTGTAGTAGGGAAATTAATGTAGGCCTTGCTTAGCTGCTGCTGTTACTAACAGCTGAGGAACAAGTGTAAGGCATTTGTTAAGACAGAGAATTCAAAATCCGCACTAGAGGTATTTCGAAGTAGATTTTTCCCCCCACAGTGGAATTTCTAGAGTTAAAACATTAACAAGATGGCTAATGGGCTTCTTAGAGTTCTTGATTAATATTTTCTCTTGTGCTAAAATATTCAGTTTCAAAAATCAGGGTAATGTCAATAGCTTATCCTATCAAACTATTTCCTTATAGACTTCTGTATATTGTAGTAGCTAAGATTAGCAGTTCTCCTGTCAAGCTATTACTTCAGACAACCAACGTTTGAAATTAATTGTTCTATTTAAGAACGCATATAATGTGCCAACAAAAAAACAGGCAGCTATTCAACTCCTCGCCATAGCATTGAAAAAGCAGACTGTGTATGTGTATATTATGTATATCTAAAAGCCACAGCGTGAATTTGTAATGTGCTTGTAATGTAAACCACTTTCAGACCTGTTAATAAATGAGGCACGTTGTGCAATTTAAATAATAAATTATTTAGCAAGGTTTGTAAGCTTGTGCAGAAAGGGGGGGGGTGGGAGAGAGAG